AAATATACTTATTAATAATAAAACAGCGAAAAGGTTTTATTTATATTATGCCTTACGACACCAAATAAACAAAACAAAAAAATAACACAAATTACGAGACGCAGAAGTCATCGGACAGAACTTCATCAAATTATTTAATCGAATTTTAATATTTTGTGGGATTTCCCTTGGCCGATAAAACAGCTGTCAATCTGTTTGGAATCGAGTTGACCAAATTTTGGGTAATTGTGGAGGATATATTTGCCCATTCTTCTTTCAACTTTTTAATGAGCTCTGGTTTGGGGTATCATGGTTCGCGTCGGGTTATATGGGTTTAGATCAGGTGATTGTGAAGGTGTTTCGATTACTTTTGGGCAGTTGTAAAGTAACCATAGCCTTACAATATGGGCCTTATGTTTCGGATCGTTATCCTGATAAAATTGGAAGTTGTTTAGAAGTTCATCTGTTCATTAAATTTCCACCAAACCATTATTCGTCCATCACTTCCAAATATATTGAACTTACTTTCATCTACAAAAATTACCTTGTTCCAATAATCAATAGACTTCTCAATCATGTTTTTTGCAAGATTTCTGTCGTTTATAAAGAATTTTTTTCGAGCACTTCTACCATTATACCCTGCACTTCTAATAACGCGGCGATTACTTTCTAAATTAGCCGCAATCTTAGGGGCACTCAAGCGAGGATTCTTTTTAATTTCCCGCACAATTACTCGTTTTTCCGCTTCATTTAAAATACTTGATGCGCCACTTCTTGGTTTATTTGTTACCCTACCTTCATCTTTGAAGCGCTTTATAATGTCATGTACTGTTGATCGACTAATCTTCACAATTTTAGAAACTTCCCGAACCGATTTTCTTTCTTCATGATAGGCAATAACCAATTTTCTTATTTGAATGGTCGTTTCTGTTCTTTTCGGTGCCATTGTTCCAAAGATACAAATAATATTGTTGTCTTCACACAAACTTTGTATTTGACATGTATTGTAACTTTACAAAAAATTTTACTAAATTATTCAAGGAAATGTCTCTAACAATAAGAATATACTAAATACACTAGTAATTTTAAACTTCTTTTTAGATCTTCTATTCAATTAAAACCGTACAATCTTATTAATCATTCCAAATTAATACGTCAAAAAATTTTAGGTTAAGTTTTGACAGATAAACGTCAAAACATTTATGTTAGGTTATGAATTATTTAATTTCTTAATAACAATCGTAGGGATTAATGAGTGTTGTTTAAACATTAACAAAAAAAAGAATAAAACGAGGAAGAAAAAAATTATTCCGTAGACGGTTTCTTTTTAACTGTCTGCTGTCGTCTGTGTGTTAAAGTTGTTCTTGTGTGCGTGCGGCTGGTTCTAATGTGGGTCAGTGGAGTAACGTCGTTCTGTTATAACTATTGCTTTCACGATCGCGCCTCAGCTGCCCGTCTTTCCGTTCTTTCTTCGTTCCGTTCATTCGCGTGTCTTCTACATTAACAACTTTACTATTTAGGTATTTTATCCTCCTTTTATTTCTTAATTCCTTCCAATTATTCCTATTTAATTATTTATCCATCAATTTCTTAATTATTTATTCCCATCTCATTAAAAATCGTTTTAAAACACGTTATTATTATTAATAATTACGAAACGTCAAAAGTGACATTTTTTAGGTTAAGTTGACATAACCTAAAATTACAAATTTGACGTTTAAATCTGTCAATCTTTTTATTCGATTTTAAATAACGATTTTTTTGTTAAAGAAAGTTGTTAGAGACGACAGTTGGTGTTAAATTTCTCTTTTGAACATTAAAACGTTTTAAATCGACCGCATTACGTTGGGCGAGGACGTTATGATTATCTTGTTGAAGAAGAAGTAACCTTCACCACTTTCCTTTCACTTCTTATCGACTTTCTAGAAAGAAGATTTTCCAAGACTTTCACGAGAAATTTCTTAAAATTAACGATTCTCACGCATTTATCGAATATCTTCTTTTATAATTTTAATAAATTTCATTTTAAGGAGGAACGAGAATTATCATCCGACGCATCTTCTTTTTCACGGACAAAGAGGACGAAGAGAGGAGTGAGAAATAACGAAGAAGAAGGAGATTAACACAGTCTCGCATAACGGACCACCCTTTATATAGTAAATACTCTGTTAAATGCGGCGAAATTGCGATGAGACCGTGTGAAATCCTCATCCTCAACCTCTGGGGGCCACTGGGACGCTAAACTTCACCTTACAGCCTCTTCACAATGAACACGATGAGAACCGAATCGTTCAAAAAGATTCAAATCACGAATTTTAAATGTCAAATTTATAAATGACGTTTTAAACGTCAAATTTTTTTTTTGATGAAGAGATTTAATAGGGAATGCATAGAAAGTATCTTAAGAATATAAATAAGCTCATTTGCATGTGGATAATCTCTCTAATAATTTAAGGTGAGTAACCAAAAAGAAAAATTAATTTTTGGATTAGAAAGTTTTATCATCACGATTTCACTTTTTTTATTTACCAACTATAAAATAATAAAATAAAACTAAATAATTACTTACAACGATTAGAAATAAAATAACCATCCCCATGGTTTTTCTTTTCACTTTACAACAACCGTTCATTATAAATTAATTAATTAATTAAGTTTATTTAAATTAAATTCGCACACCGACACGAAACGATTTTACATCGCGATTTATTCTTAGGATCGTTCGAACGTCGGTCGTCGTCTAGCCTCGATGGTAAAGAGGTTTCTACTGTCAAGTTCTTCCTCAACATTGGCCGCGGCAGCGTCGATTTGGCTCGTTGGCTAAGGAAAAAGTTCGAACCAATGTAGGCTACTCGCAAAGATGGGTTGGTGTTGGTAACCCAAAGACTTAAAAAGCCGTTTCAAACTCATTCGACGAGGCTCTCAACAACTAATTAA